AAGGGGAAGGGGGGGGCTCCGGTGCCGGCTGACATTGAAGGAAAATTACCGTGAGTTGAGTGCATCACTCTGCCCAAGGCGTTCGGAGGGATTCCTGCCGCGTCCCTTCTGTCTGAGTTTCGGTCTCTCTCTTCCAGGCCTGCAGGAAGCCCCAGCGATGGAAAAAAAAACCAACCAAACACCAAAAAAACAAGGATGAGGGAGGAATACCATGGGTGAGAAAAGCAACGCAGCATGCCTCGCTTCTTGCAGCGTCCCGCTAGGAAACAAACCCCCGGTCAAACCGTCTTCCCCACAACCACGCTGGTGCCGGAGTCATCTGCTTTTTCCACCCTCATTCCTGCTCCCCGAACGGGAGCGCGTGGACCGCGGCTCCGTGACGAGCGGGAATGAAACCCTCGCACACCTTGGTGTGCCAGCGCCGTGCCAGGTGCACCAGGATGAGTGGACGAAGAAGATGTGGTATCTTTGATGATGTGGTATCTTTGCAGACCAGCCGAGGAAAGGGATTGCCTTCGGGCAGGGCTGCCTGGGGGAAAGCAGAGAGCTGGCTGAGGCAGAAGAAGTGGTCGCCTGGGTGCAAAGAACCTGAGCAACTCCGAGGGCGATTGCCCTCAGAGCGGGTCGGGGTGGACTTGGACATAACTGCGAACTGACAACCTGCTGAGGATTGCCGAGGACAGGACTGAGACTGGGAGCGACCAAGTTGTGGGGTTTGATGGACGCCCTGGAAAATTTGAGCCTCCTGTCCGACCTACCTGCCGAATTTAAACAGGTTAACCAGATCTTTCAGTCTCAAGCAGTGGCTGCTTTGGAGAAGGCGGAGGATTTGGCATGTCGTGTTTCAAGGGCAGTTCAGAGGAGAAGGGACGCTCTGGGTCAGCGATGAATTCGGCACAGCTGCTCAATCCCAGCAGCCCTTATCCTGAGCTGGCCTGCGCTGTGCCATGCTGCCTGGTCCTGTGCGGTGCTGGGCACGTCCCTTGGCTGCTGATGGCAGCGGAGGAGCCTGCAGGCAGCTCCTATGTGGTCCCGGCAATCACACCACCTGCCTGGCCTTGCTTTTATCCAAGAGCGCAGCAAGGAGTTCTCGTGCGAAACTCCTTTCTGTCTGATAGTACAAGTGATGAATAGGGCTGTTTTCTTCTAAGAACATCCTGTAACAGCTCAAACGACCAAAGCCGGGTACCCCTTTCACGGACGGGACCTGCCGGGTGTGCTGCACTGCGTGCTGGTTGGAAGCCTGTTCGGTGCTGCACAGCTTGCGGGTCCCAGCATCTAAAGGGACCCAAGATTATCTATGTTATCCTCTCTTTATGGTGTTAGCTCTAATAATTGGCATTTTTGGTGATACTTTACGAAGTCTCACTGCATTCCTTATTGGGATTGTAATGAACCAGCACCTCCCGGTGCAAAACAGCTGCCTCTTTCCTGACTTGCTAATACAGGAGTTTTCCTCATTACTCTGATGTGGCAAGGAAGGCAAGTGGTCATGTTTCTTTGTTTTGCTGTCTTTGAATTTTAGAATGAACTTCTTCCACCCTGGAGGTACGCAACAAGCATTGCAGATTTTCAAGAATATCCAATTGCATGAGGATGTACCTGACATGGGAATGTTCAGTTAAACCCCACTTCATATTTTTCATCTATAAATGGTTTTGGGTATCATAGTTTCATAAAAATAGACATTCTATAAGCTGAATTGCTGCAGTGGCCTGCTTTACCTCCTGTTCTGATGGCGGCAGTTGAAAGATTTTCCTATGCAGCTTACTAAAGATGAATAAAAATGGATGCAAATAGAAGCTTTTAAAGGAGCTAAAGTCAACATCTGAGGTAAAAGTTCCCTCTGTGTAAAAGCATGTTTCAGAAACAAAATCCAAAGGATTGATAGAAATTCTCAGTGGCGCCCTGGTACTCAGCTGGAGTGTGCTGGAAAGCTTAACATGCTTTCTTTTTGTTGTGTTTTGATTTCTTGCTCAAATACTCACAATGGAGAGGAAGAGCAAGCAGTTTTCACTTAGACAACAGCTAATTCTTTAACGCACTGTGGACTTTAAAATAACTATCTTTTTCTCTGGAAAGCAAACCTCTGTAGAAAAGTGCAAATTTAGTTTTCAAATATTCTGTCATGATGATGAGTAATTCTCTGCTTACAGCTTTTGGTTAAATTACTTCCATGGAAATCTCAGTGGTTTTAGCAAGAACTGCTCTTCTTCACTTGATGTGGTGCGCGAGGGGATTGGTTTTTGCTCACTGGCCCTGGCCCGTCTCACACAGTCAGACCGTGCTGTGTGGAGCAGAGCTTCCTAGCAGGCGTCTCTTCTGTGATTAGGAACGTGATGACAGCAGAGGTCTTTGAAGATACAGGCACAGTTTGGAAGCGGAGACCCCGGAGACCAGCAGGGATAACTCACCAGTGGGCAGTTGACCAGTCATTGGGAAAGCACAACCTCGGGAGCTGGGAAAAGCTTGCTCTGGCTTTAGGGAAGAGGCAACAGCCAGGCAGGGCAAGAAACAGCTCCAGCAGCCGCGTGGCCTGTGGGAGCAGCCCCTCTGCCTTGCCAGCACCCCGCAGCACCCACCGTCCGCAGTCTGTGCGCCGACACGGTCCCGCGCTGCTGGGACGGGGAAGATGCCCAGCTTGGCTCCCAGCTCGCCGCTGGGAAGAGCCTGCTCACTTCTGCCTCCGCGAGCGGGGCTGGCGAGCGCCGTGGCCGGCAGCGCCGACTGCCAGCACCAGCCCCAGCCCCCCTGCCTCCTCCTGCGCTCGTGGCAAACGCGGGACGAGACTGCGGAAGACTGCCTTGAGTACGCAGTAGCTCAGCGCAAGCTGCAGGCGCGAAGGGTGGTGTTAGCGAGTGTGCGCTCCTAGCGACCGTCAGTCTTGTTCTGAAGTTCAAACTGGCCTGATTTATCGTTCTGAATGCCCTCATCACAGCGATCTCCCAATTCCCTCGTACACCTACCCGTACACGCGTTCAGCGGCAGCGCTGCTCCTCTTGCTTGCGTGAAGGCTGTCCGACTGCACAGCACCCGGAGGCTGTTGCCCCCCGTGGATGCTCCTTCCTGACCCTCGGCAAAGACCCTGGCCAGGGATTCCTCCGTGCTGGGGACTGCCGAATCCAGCAGCCCAGCAGAGGAGAGGCGGCTGCTGCGCTGTGACCCCAGGACCAGCCAGGAGCGGGGCTGAGCACTTTTTCCAGTGGGTACACGAGGAAATGCAAGCACACACAGCACGTAGACAGAGATGTGTGTGCAGGCAGATCAACAGGGACAGGAACCGTAGCGCTCACGCAGACGCCAGCAGCACCAGTGGCCTCGTCTGGTCCCCCTCTCTGGCTGCTCAAGAGGCAGGTCCGTTGGTGGAAAACATGCACGTATGCATATGTTGCATGTGTGTATATGCAGGTACGTATATGTATATACATACCCCACGCAGGTCCCACCAGTAGCTGGCCTTAGCCAGCCTGCCCACTGCGGCTGCCCCGGTGTCCCCAGCTGCCGTGCACAGACACGTGTGCACCCAGCAGGTCCAGCCTTGCTGTCTCTCGTTAGTGAGCTCTCAGACGACCCGATCTCTCCAGATTCCGCCCCTCTGACACCGGGCTCCCAAGCCTCCTGTCCTACTTGCTGGCCGGCACAGCTTTACATTTGGCAGCAATTGCCCTCCCCGGCGCACGCCCGTGTGGCAGGGATGCGCTGCGTGTCTCCAGGTGCTGGCCACTGCGCGTGGCCACTGCAACCCGGGGTCTGGCTACTCTGGCCAGCTCTAAGACATCCATACAAAGATGTACACGCAACGTAGAGACCCTCCCTGTCCAGGAAAACAGTTGCATGTCCCGTTTAATATTGCCAAACAAGCTCATATTAGAGTCTGCAGAGCATACTTCTGCTTTTGTGAGTGTAACAGGGCTGATGAGCTACAGCCGGTAGCAGCGGGGAGTTGTGCAGGGCATCCGAGAAACGGGAG